GGGGCTGACATTTCTTCCAAGCAGTGACTTCAGGAAGTGGATCACAGTCATCTCAGCACACTCAAAGCCCAGCACACAGTGTGGTACCCAAGGAGGTTTACTGAATCAGTGGATAGGTTTTCCATAGGTCCAAAAAGGTTCTTTTAGGTTTTTGGTTTGTTTGTTTTTTGTTTTTTTTGAGACATTGTTTCTCTGTGGCTTTGGAGACTGTCCTGGAACTAGGTCTTATAGACCAGGCTGGCTTTGAACTAACAGAGATCCTCCTGTCTCTGCCTCCCCAGTGCTGGGATTAAAGGCATGTGCCACCAAGGCCCAGCTGGTTTTTGACTTTTGAGACAGAGTATCACTAGCTCTGGCTGTCCTGGAACTATGTATACCAGGCTGTCCTGGAACTCCCAGAGATCCGCCTGCCTCCTGAGTGCTGGGATGAAAGACGTGTACCACCAAGCCCAGCTAGGGTCCAAGGTTCTTAACCATTGCTACCAGTGTCTGGCTTTCCTGTGCAGCTACAGAGCCAGAGACCTGGGACTCTGTCTGGACTGTGGACTGCTTCTGAGGGGCTAGGTATGCCAAGGAAACGTGACTTTTCATGGTTTAAACTTCTACATTCATGAAGAGACAACCCAGACTCAAAATTTAACCTCCGGGGCCACACAAAGGGAATTCCTGGAACAGAAATTAACCCAACTATAAAGCAGAAGTCTGGGTTCTAGGCACCTGGTGTGAATGTGTGGTTTTGGGAAAGTTACTTTTCTTTTTGAAATAAATGGCAGTGTAATGTAATAGGCTATGACATCATATAGCTTAATTTAAAAATTTAAAATATTTGTGTGTGCGCGCACACCTGGCTGTACGTATGTGCATCACATGTGTCGGAGCCCAAGGAAGTCAGATACATGATCGGATCCCCTGGAACTGGAGTTCCAGCTGTGAGCCCCCATGTGGGTGCTGGGAACCCAAACCGGTTCTCAGTAAGAACAGTATATATGCATTTTTAAAGAGGGGCGTTTTTGTTTTGTTTTTTGAAGACAGGGTTTCTCTGTATAACAGTCCTGCTGTCTGGCACTGCCTTTGTAGATCAGGCTGGCCTTGAACTGAGTCTCACCTGCCTCTGCCACCCAAGGACTGGAATTAGCCTGGCTTTGTTTCTGTTTTTCAAGACAGGGTTTCTCTGTGTAGTCCTGACTGTCATAGAACTCACTCTGTAGACCAGGCTGGCCTTAAACTCAGAAATTCACTTGCCTCTCTGCCTCCTGAGTGCTTGAATTAAAGGCGTTGAGAGCCACATCTCCATCCCCCATAGTCTCATTCCGAATCTTGGTTTGAACACTTGCCTGAGGCAGTCACTTAGATCAATGATCAGGCCTGGTTATAGAAAACTCCCAGGCTGGGTAATAACTCTTAATTCATTGTTAGGAGGGTTGATAGAGTGGGAAGTTAGTTATACCGGTGTTTGGACAATGCCACCTTGCAGTTGGGTCGATAGTGACACTTGCCTTTTTTAACATGATAAAGGGCTGTTCTTTAGGACCCCTGGAGAGGAATTCAGGAGGGCACCAGTCTGCTGGGCCTCTTTGTGTTTTGTTCCCAAATCTGGCAGGAAATTCCTTTTCTCAGCGGTGCCAGCCACCTAACTCCACCTAAACCGAGTGCCCCAGTTGACAGCTTTCCATGACAAAGGCAAAGCCAAAGCCAGGACTCTAGCCTACAGGCCAGTCGACCTCCTGCCCCGGGAAAGCACCAGGGGTTTCTTTCTCATTAATGACCCCAGAAACAGTAGGAAAAAAAGACAAAGGCCAACCAGACCCTAAAGACAGGTGCTTTCAAACCTCAGAAGGCAGAGAAGGCCCTGGGAATCTCCTCTGAAGTTCAGGAGTCTTTTGTGTTCTGGGCCTGCCTGGGTTTGCCTGGGGAGGGATTCAGGAGCTCAGTTGGCCACAGAAAGCGGGAGGCTCATAGCTGTTTTCAAAGCCTTTTTTCAGGAAGTTCAAGAGTGATAGAGGATTTTAAAATGTCAAGAGGAACTGAGCACAGCACTCAGGGAGTGGATGAACAAAGTCAGAGTCAGCCTCTGCTACACAGTGAATTTGAAGGCCAGCCCGAGCTCTAAAAGACTGTTCCCCAAACCCAAAATATATGTGCAAAGATGGAAATGTAAAACCTGCTCAATAGTTCCCCAAATTCTCCTGCCCTGCTGTATTTCAAAGAGCACAGTAAGCTATGGAAAACTGTGCCTGGGCCGCAGCTCACTCCCCAGGGACCCTAGCTACACTTTATAGGACATTTTGTTCTCCATATTGTTGCAAGCAACCCAAAGTGTGGTCTAGCTTGCTTCTAAATTTTCTGATATAGTTACCAGACAGAAAACATCATAGATGCATGGCAGCAACTGCGTGTTGGTGCACTTTGACCTGGAGTCATCCAGGCCCCAGCAGCAACTTCTTTGCTCTTTAAGATAATGACTGGTGAGAGCCAAACTCTGGTGTGTCTCAGTCACTTTGCAGACCCTCAAAGGCAGGCATTAATAGGTCCTGATGAGGCTATCATTCTAGTGGTTAGTGTCTACTACCCAGATCTAGTTCTAATACTTTTTGATGCAATTTTCATTTCTTCCCAACTACTCCTTACACTTGATCCCCTTAAGAAAGTTTAGGTAAAAGGTTCTCACCTGATTTCATGACCCCTATGTGACCACCTTCCCATCTAGGGTAGGTATTTCTTTTCTTTTTTTCCGAGACAGGGTTTCTCTGTATTGTTTTGGAGGCTGTCCTGGAGCTCACTCTGTATATCAGGCTGGCCTTGAACTCACAGAGATCCACCTGCCTCTGCCTCCCGAGTGCTGGGATTAAAGGCGTGCGCTACCAACACCCGGTTTAGGGTAGGTATTTCTACTGTGTGTGTATGCCTCTGGCATCTAACTGGCATTCTATGATACAGGGGGCAGCCTAAATAAAGAGCTTTCTGGGTGGGGCCAAGTGCAAACTTCCAGCTCCAGCCTTAGAAATGGGCTGCCTGCCTGTACCTCCTTGCCCTGCAGAGCCCCACGGCAAGGGAGGGCAGCCTCAAACACTGCTTTCTTTGGACTACTATGCACTGAAACTCAGCTTAATCTGTCCTCCCTCCATCCTCACTTGGAGCCTTACCCCGGGAAAGCTGGACAAGCACGTTACTATTGACACATCCTTCCACCCCAGCTCAAATTTAGCCTCTAACCGAACTCATGCCTAAAACCCTTTGGAAAGAGTAACTTTTATTCTAGTCCTTTCACCTGGGGATAGGTAGAGTAAATCCAATGTGCAAAGTCAATTACTCTCAACAGAATCTCTCTAGTGGCTTGAGTAACAGGTCACCCATTTTTGTTCCTACAAGAAAGATACTGAGGTCAGAAAAGCAGTAATGCAAAAGCCAGGAGTCATCCCATTGAAGAATTTATTCTTAGCAGAGTACTTCTTGTGAAAAAAAATCTTTGCAGCTCCAGCAGACATTATAAATTAATTTACAAATATAGAGTTGTATTAGAAATATTCATAAGTCCTTATGATTCTTCACATACAAAAATATTAAGAAAAATTTTTATCTAAAAAGTATGAGGCCAGGTAGTTTCTTTGGTTATCTTTCTGCATAACAGTTAATAAGCAATGGTGACACAATTTGTACATCAAGAGGCCTTTAAAATTTTCCATACATTTCTAAAAAACAAATTTTAACTAATGCTGTGAGTTCTAATATACAGGGGGGGGGGCATAAAGTCTGTCTTAAAAAACAAACACCACCACAGGGATTTCCCCTCCACACACAATTTCATGAGGTTCCTGCTTCATGTCAATATCCCGGGAGCATGGGAGCTTGCAGAATATTACCTTCATTTTAGTGGTGGGCTGTTCCTGTAAATCCAACAACCATTAACGATAACCAAGTGTTCCTTGCCTGTATGATGCTGTGCTAGACTCTCCCCACCACAAAGATTCAAATGAAAGCCGGGGGATTGGTGGCACACGCCTTTAATCCCAGCACTAGGGAGGCAGAGGAAGGTGGATCTCTGTGAGTTCGAGACCAAGCCTGGTCTACCGATCGAGTTCCAGGGCAGGCTCCAAAACAATACAGAGAAACCCTGTCTCGGAAAAAAGATTCAAATGAAGTTACCTCAGAGGGGTGGTGGTGGTGCTGAAACATTTATATACATAACTTTTAAAAGAATTTGGCCACAATAGTTTTTTTCTCATTAAAAACTGTAAGATTGGCTGGGCGTTTGTGGTGCACACCTTTAATCCCAGCACTCGGGAGGCAGAAGCAGGCGGATCTCTGTAAGTTCGAGACCAGCCTGGACTACCAAGCGAGTTCCAGGACAGCCTCCAAAGCCACAGAGAAACCTTGTCTCGAAAAACCAAAAAAACCAAAAAAAAACCCAAAAAAAAACAAAAACAAAAAAAATTGTAAGATTGGTCTGGGTGTGGTAGCACTCATTAGCAGATCTCTGAGTTCAAGGCCAGCATGGTCTACATAGTCAGTTCCAGAAACATCCAAGGCTATGCAGAGACCTTATCTCAAAAAACCAAATGAAAAAAAAGTCTGTTGCATTTCAATGAAATACTTAGGATATAAGATGCCAGGTTTACCTCTAGAAACTAAAACAATCGTCTCCATCCAGACCTTATCCCATGTATACTTTGTCTATTATGAGGCCAGCAAGTTTAAGAAGAACCCATTATTTCCCATGTGTGACCTTGGTATGTTACCTGCCATCTCAGATAGTCATACCTATCTCCCACATAGAATCTGGTACTATCGATGGCTTCAGAAACCCAGAACTGAGCCTACATTCAAGGACCTCAAGTGTACATTTGAGAAAGTCTGGGCTCTGTTTACATTTCAGAGCCATCTGAACATAAGGAGACTTACTGTGTAGAAGGAAGTTGACATTCCAGACATACAGAACATTTGGCACAAAGCTTTCCTGCAGTAGCACCTGCCATTTCCAGACAAAGGTAACTTATGAGCCAGATTCAGAAAGGTTTGCAGCATTTCTTGTATCACAGGAAGCAAAGGATACAAAATTAAGAGTTTTCTTATTTAAGAAAAAAATCCAGATTATTTGGCTTACTTTGAAAAAAAAATCAGAATTCTGTCATGGAAGAAATAACCAGCTGGTCAATCCCCTTGCCTCCAGCTGCCAACTGCTTTGATTTTTCCCATCCCTAACTTCAACGGCCTTCTCCCCACCAAGCTGCCTATCTGTATACATTTGAGCTTGCTGCTCTGATATACAAGTGAATAAAATAGATGCAGTCCTCACAGAGTTCTACCTACCATCCCAGGACTGAATAAGGTGCCTTTCATCTCCAGAGAGGCACACAGACAGAGAAACCTGGAACAGTCTGCTGCAGCATAAGAACTACTATGGACCGACAGCCTCCAAAACAATACAGAGAAACCCTGTCTCGTAAAACCAAAAAAACAAACAAACAAACAAACAAAAAAAAAACTACTATGGTTACCATGAGCATAGCCAATGGCCTGTGGAATCATCCAGGAACTCACAGAAATCAATGCAGAAGCTCGGTCCTACCCAGACCCTCCTGAACTGAGCCTACATTCAAAGCGGACCTCAAGTGCACATTTGAGAAAGTCTGGGCTCTGTTTACATTTCAGAGCCATCTCTGGGGTAGATGAGGCTGTTGACCATGCTGAAGTTGTAGAAAGGGCTGCTGAAGGGGCTACTCTGGTCCCCACTGCTGCCGCCAGAGAATGGGCTGTAGTAGGCAGACAGCTGGTTGCTTCCACCCATAGTGCGCTGCACTGAGTCTGGAGAGCCCTCTGGGATGGAGGTGTTGGGGAAGGCACTGGAGGGCAGCTGGGTACCCCCTAGGGAGCGGCGATTGCCTGGGATGCCTCGTTGGGTGCTCATGCTGCTGGGGTTTCCACTTAAAGTGTTGAGGCTGCTGAAGAAAGTGTTGAGGCAGGGGGTGGAGGTGTGTGTGGATGTTCCAGGAGAGGAGGAGTTGCTCTTGGTGCCCTCTGGAGGTTCTGGTGACTGAGATGGCCTCATCATAGAGGGGCTGTCTCCTTCTTGCTTCCCACTCACTCTTAGTCTTGAGGACAACCCTTCTGATTTTGATGTTCCTGAAGCCACAGTGAGGTTGCTATTGGCCTCAGTACGGCGCTTTCGCTTCCGACGGAAGTTTCCATTGTCGAACATTTTTTCACAGTTTGGATCTAGAGTCCAGTAATTACCTTTCCCTGAGGGGGTGAAAAAGAATTTGTGAGGATCCTATTTTTATATTTATTTATTTGAGACAAGGGTTTCTCTGTGTAGCCCCGACTGTCCTGGAACTTGCTCCGTAGATCAGGTTAGGCTTTCGTGAACTCAAGTGAACTCAAAGATCCACTTGCCTAGGACTCTGAGTGATTGAATTAAAGGCATGTGCCACCACTCCCAGCTCAAAGGTTCTATTTTATTTCTGGGCACAGAATGTCCCCCTTAAGTTTCAAGACACTTTAACATATACCCTATGATAAACTAAATATATAAATGAGGCAAAATAACAATTTTATAAGCCATGTGAGTGGAGTTTAATTAAAGACAGTTTCATGCTGGGCGGTGGTGGTGGTGGTGGTGGTGGTGGTGGTGGTGGTGGTGGTGCACGCCTTTAATCTCAGCACTCGGGAGGCAGAGGCAGGTGAATCTCTGAGTTCAGACCAGCCTGGTCAACAAGAGCTACAGAGAAACCCTGTCTGAAAAAAAAAAAGACAGTTTCATATATCCCATGCTGGCCTTAGATTTACTGTGGTTCTCTTGTCTCCCTCCCTGGGATCACAAGAATTCACCACCATATCCATTCTACAATGCTGAGAATCAAAAGCAGGGTTTTATGGATGATAGACTAGAATCTACCAACTGAACTACACACAGCCCTAGCCCCCTTTTCTTCTTTCTCTCTCTCCTTTTTATTTGTTGAGACAGGGTCTTTCGGAGTCCAGGCAGACCCCCAATTTGCTATGCAGGTGATGCCGGGAGCCCTGAACTGATCACTTCCTCCTGCCGTCACTTCCTAAATTCTAGAATTAACCTTGGCATAGTAGCTGGCACACAGAAAGCAGCCTGAACAGTATTTACTACAATTACTTCTGAAAAATATGCAACTCCTACAATGGAAAAGAATCACATTGAAAAAGGCAATCACAAAAAGATAAATTATACTAATGAGCCATCTATTTGTACAACAGAACAAGGAAACTGGAACTGATACCACACGCACATCAGAGCAGGACATGTCCCTGTAAAACCAAACTGTCTACTGGGAAAAAAATCTGTACTCGTTTAAAATACACACACACACACACACACACACACACACACACACTACGTGTTTTCCCACAATTGAAGGGGAGAGACCTACGGCATCTTAGAATTTATCATGTAGATAGCTTTTCCTAACTTTGGCTTCACTGTTTCACTGTTTTGAGTGTCACTAAGCTCTTCACAGTCAGTGCTTCTCCTGGATAAGCTTGGGTGTCTCTCAAAGCTCTAAAAAACAGACAGGACCACTGCCCTCAAATCTCAAGGAAGGTGAGATGCAGACTGGTTACCTGCTGTATGCCAAGTTCCATACAACTGTTACTGTGGCGAGGCAGTATCTAAGTAGATTGGCTCCAAATTTAATATTTCTTTATTTCTCTTTTTTTTAAATCAGGGTCTCACTATGTAGCTCTGGAACGTACTCTGTAGACCAGGCTAGCCTCAAACTCAGATCTGCCTGTCTCTGCTTCTGTAGATAGTAGTAACACACACACACACACACACAGAGACAGAGAGAGGAAGAGAGAGAGAGAGAGAGAGAGACAATCTGTAACCACCTGGGTAGGTCTATTGAGTTATCTTGGTAGCCCTATCTTTTATTCCTGCTTTCCCCAGGGCTAGAACCCAAGACCTCAATATACCAGGCGAGCGTTCTTTTCTGAACTACACGCCTAACCTCCAAACACTGGGTTTGTTTTTAAACCGTTTTCAGCTTTCTCTTTCCTGCTGTCTGTGTCTCTTTACCACCATTAGCACCACTGCCCCCCCACCGCCTTTTCCCTTCTAATAAAACTTCTCACAAAAAAAAACTCCCAGATACCAACATCATTGAACTTACTTAAAGTTCAAAGGAAAACAGGTGACAATAAACATACAAATCTTGGATGGTTTGAGGCTAAACTGGGAAGCTGCATCTTCAAAAACTGCACATCCTGTCCAAGTTGTCACCACAGGGCACAAATGGCAATTAAGACTCTTAATATGTGTTGTAAAATGTACACACAATGAGAGAAAGGCCATGAAGCTGACCTTGAACTCTTGATTCTTCAGCCTCTACCTCCTAAATGATAGGATTGTAGGAACAGAATTAATTCACCATGCCTAATCACGTTAACTTTTTAAATGTGTTTGCACTATACAGCATCAGTACCGGCCGGCAAACGCTGCTCCAGAGTGACTTCTGCAAGTGGTAGGGCTGATCCTTTGCAAGTCTGAGGTCCTGGGTTCCATCCCCCAATACAACAAAAGACACTGGTAGCATTTATACAAAACTCTAGATCTCATTTTTCTACCCCCTCTCCTTCCCTTCTTCTGGGTTCATTCAGAAAGCCTCAAGCAGGAATCGGTTTCTCTGTAAGCCTCACTTCACTTCCACCAGGTAAGATAAGAACCCAGACCTATGCAGTCTGCTGCACTCAAGGGACTGGGGTACTTCTATAGCTTAATATACCCAAACCCAGTTGACCCACTTTCGACTTCCATCATTAAATCACTGCTCAAGTTAGGTGAACGGGTCAGGACGCAGTGAGATCCTCAAGAACTCACTTCATCATTTGCAACAGGTGATAGAACACTCTGCTTCTTGGGAGTACCTTTCCTCCTGTTCTTTCTCCCAAACTATTTCCAGTAACTAAACTGTCCCTTGCAGCGGTCTCCTGTTTGAGGGCATGGATCTTTTTTTTTTTTTTTTTTTTTTTACACTTTTTAGCTTTAGCCAGCCAGCATCTGCCCTGAATGTAAGGGACCAGCTTAACGTGTCCTAAGATCTAATGTAGTTCCCGCATCCCTATCAGAGCAGGTTGGGGTGCCTCTATCCCCACATGTTCTACTCTTCAGTGATGAGAGGACCCCGTGTGGAATTTCAACCCAGCCGCGCACAGACCCAATACTGGGCTCCCGCTCGAAGCACCCGCAGGTGAGCTACTCCGCGTCCTCCCCAGCCGGGAAACACCTGCCCCGCCGTCTCACCTGGGTCGTCTTCGTCGCGGGGCACCTTCTTGAAGCAGTCGTTGAGTGATAGGTTGTGGCGAATGGAATTCTGCCAGCCAGCCTTGCTGCGCTGGTAGAAAGGGAAGTTATCGGCAACGAACTGGTAGATGTGGCTGAGGGTGAGCTTGCGCTCGGGAGAGCTCTGGATGGCCATGGCGATGAGCGCCGAGTACGAGTAGGGCGGCCGCACTATCTTCATCAGGTCCTCGTGGCCGGTCAGCGACAGCCAACTCAGCTCGCCCGGAGCTGTCGAGCCGGCGGGCGAGGCCGGGGCAGCAGCCGAGGGCTGCGCGAAGCCCCGCTGGGCGCCCGCGAAGGTGCCCGGAGCGGCTGGCGGCTGCAGGAAGGGCCCGGGAGCTGCTCCGGGGGGCGGCGGCGGGGCGCCCAGGTAGCCGGCAGCGGAGGCCGGGCCGCCCACGCCGGGCCCGTTGAGCCACAGGTAGGGGTTGGCAGCCGCGGCGGGTGGCGCGGCGTAATCGGACAGCCCGTAGGGCGCCCTGGAGGTCGGGGGCGCACCGGGCGCGGCGGCGGGTTGTGAGTACACGAAGTTGTCGCCGCAGTAGAGGGCCATGTCGGCGGCCGAGGGCTGGTGCGGGGCGACCGCGGCTTTGGGAGAACGAGGCTGGCCTCGGCGCTGCGGAGAGAGCATCCCTTGGAGGACCAACCAAACGGCCCGCCCCGGCCTCCGCGGTGAGTAGAGACCTGGAGCGCTGGGGAGCTCACCGAGGGCGGGGGACAGCTCCTCTTATACCTGCGGGCCTGGCGGCTCAGCAATCCACGCCCTCGCCACGCCCCACGTGCTCCGGAGCAGCGAGGAGTCTCCTCTGCCGCTCCAGTCCTGATTCTGCTGCTCTCAGCCAACTCCCAAGTCAAGGTGAAAAGCGCCCCTCCGTCCTTCCTCCATCCCTGCCCTAGTGTCCTCCTGTCTGCCCTCCGTCCTCCCATTTTAGCCCGCGTGTAATCACCTACTATAAAATGCAGAGTGTTGAAACCAGAAGAGAGATCCCCGACGATTGGACGGCTGTTCCTTTTCTATCAAGTCCCAAAGTTTAAAAAAAATTGGGGGGGGGGAGGGAGGGGTAATCGAATTTTTCTTGTTCAGTACATCACTCACATTGAGTCTCGACAGATTGGCTCTGCCATCAAAACTAATAGATATGAATGACCACCCAACAGGAACCCTGTGGGCCAGGTATGAAATTGTTCTCTCCTTTCTGTCGTCTCTTCTTTTTGTAGTGATCCATCTTTCTGGTTAAATTGTGTGTTTATTCACTTCAGGGAAACACTGTTCATTTTTCACCTGGCTGGTTCCGACGTTTGGTGTGGTGTTATTTTTCAAAAGGTAAACGTTTGCAAAGACGACTAAATAAGTGGCTTTAGAATTAACATTTAAAAGCCGAACGTTGGAAGTCATTTAAACAGAACAAGAATCGCTTACAGTCACGGATCTCTGTTTTGTTCTCAGCTTCTGCACGTTTTAAGAGGCTCTCTGCGCACCGGGAGAGCAACTAGCGAAAATCTGTGACGACCCATGTGTCACGCAATCATTATTTATTGACTCAAAACGACAGCGAGAAAATAGCCTCTTTTACCATCCAAAATATTCCTAAACGTGTTCTTGATAAAAACAGAGCCAAAAGTTCTCGTTTGAGTGGAGGAGTGATTGGTTGCCTTTTTTTTTTTTTAACTATGTACGGATTAGTCTGATAGCTGAGAATATTACTTCAGAACCCCGCCCAGCATTTACTTTCATGATGGAGTTAGCTTTGTACTAAAAAAAAAAAAAAAAAAAAAAAAAAAGTCCGTCAGTCGAGGCGACGCAACAGGCAAAGGCCCTTACCGCCAAACCCTGAGTTTGATCCCTAGAGTCGAAGGAGAAAACCGAAGTTGTTCTCTGATTTCCACTAGGGCACCTCCGTGATACCCGTGCCTCCTCCCCCCATAAAGAGTAAATAAATAAAGTAATGTAATTTAAAAAATTAAAATGGAAATTATTTAGCAAACTTGAATGCCTAAAATGTATATCTCACTTCAAACTTAAGCAGTCATCTTCTCTGGAATCATAGAGGAATCACTGCAACTGTAAAACACCTTAGTCTTTGACGGTTTTTGGAAGAATCTGAGAAAAGAATTAGGGTTCCTTAACTGCATTTAGCTTAAAATATATTTTTCTTTACGTAGATAAAAACAAAAACAGGCTTCCATCTTCCCAAAGGGCTTGAAACAAAGTTCTTTGGTCTTAACTAGATTTCTCCTGGAATGCTAAAAGGCTGAAAACTATGAACTAGATTGGAAGGAAATTTTAATTCCATAATGCCCTACTGGCTATTTTTTTAAGTATAAAGATGAAAACTAAGTAAAAGTTGAGAACCTAGAGGGCAAGCTTTTTCCTCCCACACAAACTTTAAACATCTAACATTACTGTAATGTGACCAAAAATATATAGCTTCAGATAAGTGTTCAAGAGATTTCAACACTTACTTTCTTTTCATTCTAAATGGAAGTTAATTATAAAAAAATATTGAATCCATCTTCCCTTTAGTAATTGATGTTCTTCAAAATATAGTATCTTTTAGCAAATTGATTACCCATACACAGTTGGCAATTTTTCTTCTGGGTTTATTTCCAAGCCTCCAAATTATTCTAAACCAGAGACCATCATTCCAGAATATTGTTTATTGTTTTGATTAAAGGTTCTACTTAGTGGGTTGTGTTCCCTTCTATGTCTTTTGCAAACTTAGTTTTATTTAAAAGGAGCAGAGCCACCTACCGACCTTTGGCTGCTGTTACAGCTCTTCCCCATGGGAGTAGACAGCATCCTTTGTAAAGAAAGTCACGATTTTCTATCAATTTCATTTTATTTTGAGAGATATGTTTCATGCAGTCTAGGATGGTTTCAAACTCCTTGTGTAACAGAGGACAGCCTTTACCAGTAGACCCTCCTGCCCCTACCTCCCAAGTGCTGGGGTTACAGGTATGCATACCCTGCACATGCATACCTGGCCTTTAAGCACATTTTGATGCTATAAACATAAAGCTAGCATTGGTCACAGCCTGAGTTATTCACTGTCAAAATTAATTTTTTAAAAGTATTTCTATTTTATGAGTTCCAGGACAGCCTCCAAAGCCACAGAGAAACCCTGTCTCAAAAAACTGAGGAAAAAAAAAAAGTATCTCTATTTTTTTAATTGAGGAAGCTGAGGCAGGTGGATTGCCATAAGCCTGGACTACAATTTGAGAGTGTTTAAAAAAAGAAAAAAAGGCCACAAAACAAATAAATAATGAAAGCAAGAAGAGTGCTTATAAATTATAAGTTCCCACTGGGGAGGCTGGAGCCTAAGAATCCAGAGTTTGAGGCCAGCACTCCGTATTTTGAGACCCTATCTCAGAAACTGCAACAGTACAAAACCCCTGTAATCATGTTTTCTCCAATCACCCTCCCACAAAATGATATAATCAAGACAATTGATTATTGCATAAATATAAACTGTTAAGCCTTGGGAAATTATTGCTTCTCGGGTGGATAACTCAGCAGGCGTCCACTGACATTCTTGTCCCAGGTGGCTGAGCAACAGCAGATTCTGACCAAATGTTTGTCATTTTAAGCATAGAGTCTTACGGGAATGCAGTTATTTCCATTAATCTGCAGTGTCACAGAGACACAGTGCATTGGCTTGCTGGCATTATCACCTGCTTCCACAGGAGAGAAAGGGTGATATGAACTGAAAAATGGCCTTGGTGCTCTTCACTAAACATGTCAGCCAATGTAGACCAATGCTGCATTTTATGTAGCATTGATGTTTACAAAAGCACTCATAAGTGCAAAACATGGACCGTGACGTGACTCAGGGGGTCAGGGTACATGCCACCAAGCCTTATTACCTAAGTTCAGTCCTTGGGACCCACACATTGAAAGGAGAGAACAGACTCCCTCAAATTGTGAACACAGAGGGAGACTAAATGACATAGATAGATAGATAGATAGATAGATAGATAGATAGATAGATAGATAGATGTGATTTTTATAAAAAGGGAAACCAAGCCGGGCGTTGGTGGCACACGCCTTTAATCCCAGCACTTGGAAGGCAGAGACAGGCGGATCACTGTGAGTTCGAGACCAGCCTGGTCTACCGAGTGAGTTCCAGGACAGGCTCCAAAACAATACAGAGAAACCCTGTCTCGAAAAACCAAAAAAAAAAAAGGGAAACCAAATTCTCTAGCTATATTGCCTACCTGGCTTTCTAGCTGGCACTCAGTAGTCAGTACACCCATCTTCCTTCATTAAGTAAATCAGAAGCTCTTTGAAATTGAACACCCCCATCCCCACCCCCAGACAATGTAGCTTAAGATGCCCCAAACTTCCAATAGTCTAGCTGCCTCATACTGGTAAGCACTAGGACTGCAGGCATGCCCAATTGTTAGGACTGGAGGGACCATTCTTTCGCTTATCAAATATTTATGACTTTCTTTACATAGTATTTGTGACTGGTAATGGGAAGTGGAGTGGGCAGCTGGAAGAACACCCTTTTGAATGATGTGTAAGTATTTCATTTGGTGGTGTAACCACGCCCATTTAAGAATTCAAGAACAAGCAATGCTGGGAGTGGTGGTGGTGGTGCGCCAGAACCCAGAAAACTAAAGCAAGAGGGTTGATGCATGTTTCAGGCTGACCTACACTGTGGGTTCTGGGCTAGCAAGGGCTACATAAGGGAGACCCTACCCGTCCCCCAAAACAAACAACATTTGAGACTAATAAGCCTGGACTCTGGCCCTATCCACACAAAATGAGCATTGAATGCCTATACCCACAGAGCATCAAAAGAGAAGGTCATACCTGGGGAACCAAGGGTCCCAGGAAGCCCAGACCATCCAATGCCCAAGGTCACATTGTGATACATGGGAGAATTAAAGTAAGCTGGTCCACTTAATTAGACTTTTAAATGAGCAGAAGTTATCTAAAGGTATACTAATGCTAAATTGCAAATCTTCACTCAGGCACATGATCTCTATGACGACAGAGGTTTTCTGCTAAAAAGATAATTCTTCCACTATCTCAAAAAGGTGTGGGACTAAAAAAAAAAAAAAAAAAAAAAAAAAAAAAGGTGTGGGACTGGGAATTTAGCTCCTTAGGATGGGTTCATCCAGCCTAGCACGTTGGAAGCCTTGAGTTCAGTCCCTAGACTTACACAACAAAGAAAGACTGCCTGGTCTACCAGAGCTAGTTCCAGGACAGCCTCCAAAGCCACAGAGAAACCCTGTCTCGAAAAACCAAAGAAACCAAAAAAAACAAAAAAAAAAAGACAAAAACAAAAACAAAGAAAGACTGACCTGGGTTGGAGACCTGGTTCAAAGGTTAAGAGCACTGTCTTACAGAGGACCAGAGTTCAATTCCAAGCACCTGCACAGTGACTCACAACCATCTGTAACTCCTGTTCATCTGACTTTTATGGACATGAGCCTACAGACATATATGCAGGGTAAACATTTATACACATAAAATAAGTACATTAAAAAAGAAAGGAAGAAGCCGGGTGTTGGTGGCGTACGCCTTTAATCCCAGCACTTGGGAGGCAGAGGCAGGTGGATCTCTGTGAGTTAGAGGCCAGCCTGGTCTACAAGAGCTAGTTCCAGGACAGCCTCCAAAGCCACAGAGAAACCCTGTCTCGAAAAAACAAAGAAACCAAAAAAAAAAAAAAAAAAAAAAAAAAAGAAAGGAAGAGGCCAGGTGGTGATGGCACACATCTTTAATCCCAGCACCTGGGAGGCAGAGACAGGATATCCAAATCGAGGTCAGCCTGGTCTACAGAGCTAGTTCCAGAGCAGCCAGGGCTATACAGAGAAACCCTGTCTTGAAAAAGAACAAATATATATGAAGAAAAGCCTAGAACACTAGTGTGAAATAGTCACTTACTTGCCAACATTTAAAAAAATTGGGAAAAGAGGAAGTCACCTATCTCTAATTTATCTGACAATATCAGTAGGCTTCTGGACTCTCCATGACTGTCTGATTTCTGCAGCCAAGAAGTCCTTGGGTGCACAACAGTGAAAGTTGTGCTCAGATGTAGCAGCTGAATGAAGGGCTTCCATTCTCCAATTGAACCATCGAGGACCATGCACTCTGTCTTTCCCCAGACTTCTCATACTCCATTGTGGTTTGCCATAAATAAATCAAAGTGTTCAGAAACCACTTACCATCTCTGGATGCATGAGTTGGCAGATGTAACCATGAACTTCATTCATCCTGTGTCTCTCACATACATTCAAATTAGCTGATTTTAAATTAGCAGTGACTTCATCTGTTTCCTGGCCTCAGTCATGTATACATATAAAACACTGTGTATAAGCTTCAAATATATATATGTATATATATATATCATACCATATATATGTATGTATGGCACGTGTATACATACATATATATGGTATGATATGATATATACTATTATAGAATATGATGCTATAAATGGATTTTGTTGTGTTGTGTTTTTCGAGACAGGGCTTCTCTGTGTAGCCCTGGCTGTAACTCACTCTGTAGACCAGGTTGGCCTTGAACTTACAGAGAGCCCCCTGCCTCTGTCTCGTGAGTACTGGGATTAAAGGCGTGTGCCACCACAACCTGGCTGTAATTGGATTTTTCTGTAAGGTCTTACTACATAACAAAATATATATGCACACACACACACACACACACACATATATATATATATATATAATAAAATACATATATACAATGTATATGTATCATGGCAATAGCCTCCCATAGTCCTTTGCTTGCTTCTATTTTTTTTTTTTTTTTTTTTTTTTTGGTTTTTCGAGACAGGGTTTCTCTGTGGCTTTGGAGGCTGTCCTGGAACTTGCTCTGTATACCAGGCTGGCCTCGAACTCACAGAGATCCGCCTGCCTCTGCCTCCCAAGTGCTGGGATTAAAGGCGTGCGCCACCAACGCCCGGCTGCTTCTATTTTTTTGATACTGGTGACTGCCTGTCATTTAAAAGGCA